CTTCTCTCCTTATCTCCAACTTCTTCCCCACAGCAGGCCTGCCTACCAAATGGTCTCATTGAGAAAAACCCCTGCTGTCACAAGGGTCTTACTAATACTATCCAAGACCAGATGGGCTTGGGTGTGAGCCAGGGATGGGACCGAGTCCCCATCCAGTCCTGGAGTGACTGGTCCCATGGGAGAGAGGAATGAATGCCCCTTAGAGCAAGGCATTTAGGCAACACTGCCCTTTCAGTAACTTGCCTCAGCACTGCCAGCCTTTGCCCTGCTGAGGAGTGTGTAACACACTTACCAGCACAACACGTACTAGTGGCCAAACTGACTTGCGCAGCAAGTGGTCAGGAAAAGCCATAAGCATCCAGGAAGACTGCAGCCTGGAAGGTCCAGTGGCTGGTGCTTCCTGTGAGCTAAAGTGTGGAGACAAACCATCTCTAGCTCGGCTACCCCCCAGAGGTTCCCAGCCATGATGTACATGTAGGGGCTCTAAGTACCTGGGGTTTAGGAATGAGTCACCCTGCCCCAGGGCCTCCTGGCCAGGCACCCCCAGGCTTTGTCTGTGAAGTTCATTAACTAGAATGTTGTCTTGTAAGGCTCTACAGGCGCGGCAGGGCCCCGGCTCTTCACCATCCACCTGATAGACGCCAACACGGACAACCTACCCAAGGCTCATACCTGGTAAGCTTGGCCACTGTGGGGCCGTGTGTCCTTCATGCCGTCTTCAGCAGAGCCTCAGATCCCACCCGAGGCTCAAATGAGACGGGTACTTGAGTCAGCAGATCCCGGGGGGTCGTTCCTTTGTGATACAGAGCAGTTAAAGCTGTGCTGACCACTGCCTATGAGTGTGGCCTGCAGGCTCGTGATGGCCTGGGCTGTGTGTGCACACCCATCAGAAAGAGGCGGTCACTGTTAACTGATGGATGGCCCACCTTCCTTCTCACAACTACTGAAAATGTTCTCCACAGTGGATTAGTTACTTGGTAGTTTAAAGCTACTGTCTCAGATTCATTAGCTCTCCTTCAGGACACTAGTTTCCAGGGTTGTGGGGATGCTACATGAGAGGACAGAAGGTTCACCTGTTGCCTAATGATGAAATTTGGAGTGAATAATTTATGTCTATCCCGACTTTTGTTCACATCTTCAAGATGGGCTAAAAACACATCCATTCCCAGGACCATGTAGGACACCAAGATTGCCTCAGCATGATCTGGCATGTGTTCCTATAGAATGAGTGTGTGTGGCTTCTGTCCTTCGGTAAGCCTAGCGTCTCAGATCTAGATGAAAAATCCAAAAGAACAGTGCACCCTTTACCCAGGTTCTCACACCATTCCTGGCTCTCACTGTTTTCATGGCCACCGCTTTCTGTTTATTGGTTTTTAAAATTACTATGAGACAATAAATGTGTCTCTTTACACAAATACTTGAAATGAGTCTCCCCCAGAAACCTTAAGTGGGAAGGTTGGTATCCTTCTCATCTTTCTAGGATTTGGCATTCTTTGGCTTTTGAGACCCAGCATGCTCTAGTAGGGGTTGGTGACCGGATGGTCACCAGTGCACACCACAGCCAGCCATTCCCAGTGTAGAGAATTCACACCTGGAGACAGAGCGGTGAGCAGTTAGTGCCCAGGTTTCTATTCTGAGTTTGTAGATCTTGAGATTTTGCTGTGGGTTGACTAGAAGAAACAAACAAACAAACAAAAACAAAAACAAACTTGGGTTGAAACCTGAAGCATGTGTGTGGAGAACTGAATAGGGCTCTTCCCAGCCACAGATAGGACCCCACCTTCCGCCCCACGCCCCACTGCACTGAAGACGAATGACCCCCAGTGACTCCGGTCCTTTGTCCTTTTCCAGCTTTAACCGGATTGACATCCCCCCCTATGAGTCCTACGAGAAGCTCTATGAGAAGCTGCTGACGGCAGTCGAGGAGACCTGTGGCTTTGCTGTGGAGTGAAGAGTGGCCAGTGGCAGAGAGTCTCACTCACAACCACCAGACCCAAAGCATATGGCGTCTGCACGCCTCCCGCATGGCGGGCTGAGGCCTGAGATTCCAGAAACCCGAGGGAAAAGGCTCGTCTCCCTCCCCCTTTGGGGAGGGCAAGCCAGGGGACTTTAATAGGTGGCTCCCACCCACTTATCCTCCTTTATTATAGTTTGCCCACCCTTCCATCACCCATCCAATAAAACGCAGCCAGGGTTCGCCCTCAGCCTCCTTGGCATAGTGGGCATGGTCAGAGCCAAGCTGGGCCCCTGGGGGTTTGCATGGTTTCTGTACCAGCTCTCCCTCTCAGTGCAGCCTCAAGGCCCTTTTCAAGTTCAGCAGCTGCCGACAGCTTACTAAGCTCAAACTCCAGACATCCAGCTAGCAGCGTGTCCAGATAGCGGGTGGATTTCTAAGCAGGAAAGAACTGCACAGTGTATGCTTGCTGGAATCCCACCAAGGCAGGGAGCTGGAGGCAGAATGTGTTCCCCTTTGAGAGGTAAAGGAATCGGAGCAGCCTTCACTGGAGGCCCAGGGATTTCTTTTCAGGGTATCTTGGCCGAAAAAGATGGTTTTGCACAGGGGGAAATCTTTAAAAGTCCCATCTGCTGTGTTCTCTACCCAGTCTGAAATTCTCACACGTCATGGAGCTAATCAGAGAATGACCAAAACCAGGCTCAGATCGCCCCGGGTCCAGCTCGACTCCTGTGCCAGGGTCCGGAGGCTCCTGGCTGTCCTGATATGCTAATGGACTTTCACATGGGGATTGCTAAGAGCTAAACTAACAGAACGCTGTTGTCACCACAACCACTGGATGGGACAGCAGGAGAGGCCGCTGACCTGGGGTCCCCTGATGCAGCTCCCCAGGGTTGGTGCTATGCACAAAGCGGGGTGTGATGGAGCCTGTGGTAACAGGGCGGGGGCTCTACCTCCCGACATGGCCCTCTTCCCCGGTGGCAATGGTGATGCTAACAGTTCTACTTAATTTGCTTGCTCAGTCTTCGTCTTCTGATGAGCAAGGCCAAAGCCAGCCTAACGCCATGTCTTTAACACCATTTCCAATTTGCACAAGTGTTCAGAAGCAGTGACTTTCAACAGAGGGTCTGGATTCAGGCAGCTGAACTCTGGTGGAAGGCAGAGCAGCAGCCGATAGTCTGTGTGTGGTTTTGTCATTTTTGTTTGTGGTGGGGGCAAGAACAGGGTAATTCATTAGCAAGACATTTCATTGGTACCGGGGTTCAGGTTCAGCCATGAGTTCAAGTTGTGTGTGGATGATGAGGAAGGTCCTGTTGGGCCACTTGGCTTTTGTGTTCTTTTCATTGCTTACCCTCAGGCTAGGGATGGGAAGTGTCTTCTCTCCTTTTCCTGCTGCTTCTGTCCAGCTTGCTCCGGAAGCAGTTCCCAAGTGACTGGGGGAGGCTGGATTCACAGGTCATACACACCCTACCCCAAGAGGTTTACCCAGCTCGGTGGCCACTGGTACAGCAGAGTTTGAGTCAGCCAAACTCTAGGGTTTGCGGTTCGGGGACAGAAAGGATGCTTGGTAGACCTCACTGCACAAAAACGGAATCCGTCCCACCCTCCAGGCCAGATTGGGGCCTTATCAGTCTCTCAGTTTTCTGCCTTGCCCCGGTAGGGCTTCTGTATTTCATCTACCTTAATGCTTCCGAGGGGGTTCTAAAACCCAGCTCCCTTGGGACTCAGAGTATTGAAAAGTGTGAGGAAGCCTGTGCCCTTAGCTGCAGCCAGTCCATGGGAACCAGCCAGACCTCACAGAGTGACAGTCTCTGGAGACTGGAAACCCTGCTTGTTGCTGTCGCACTGTGCCAGTCTGCAGCGATGAAGGAACCAGGGTCCTGTGCTTTGGAGATGTGCTGCCGGAGTGTGGAGTTGGAGTGATGAGGGACAAGCCTTAGGAGTCCCGTGTCAGGTGTCCTTTGAGGAAGATGGAGGTGGGGCCCTTGGGCTGACTGGTAGTAGGCACATAGACCACCCACTAAGGCTTCTAAGTCTTTCCGCGGGCATTGCCTGTGGGTTCCCCCCTTTGCCGGTTCTGAGTGTCACAGCCTCCCCCAGTTCGTCTGTCCGCGCAGCACCGTCCTTTGTTGGTACCGCTGCACCTCCTTGTCTGTCTACCACGGTTAGGCCCTTCTGAAGCTCCTCAAAGGACACTGTGGCCGGCCCACGGCAGAGCTCCTGTTGCCCTGCTTTGGGTCTGGATGAAGCCCTTTCACGTAAGATCTCGATTGTCACCCCTCCTGGTGGCCCCAGATGATCCACCGTTGCCATGTCACCCGGATGCTTCAGGAGCCCAGCTCTCCAGGCTCCCCTCACCAGCGGCCAGCAGCCACACTCAGGGACGCAGCGAACACCACTCTGCTCCACAGTGCTTCAGAAGTGCCAGGCTGCAGCGACGGGGTGGGTGGCAGTGGGTCCCAGCCTCTTGCTTTCTGTTAGGAGAGTCTGCCACAAGATGGGATGCTGAGCCCTACACTGGCTTGGCCACACGGTCAAGTTCAGGATGGGTGGACCCTGGACTGACCTTCCGCAGAGAAAACGCCCCACCCTACTGCAGCCAGGTGGGGGCCACATGGCAGCCTTCTGAAACAGTGTGGCTTTTTAAAATGTGTTTATAATGTATTCTAATTTATTTTGTAAGGTCCTGTTTGAAGTGCTGCTGCCACCCTAGCTGCTCTCCCAGTTTTTATTGCCCATTTCCTTGTGACAGTTGTACACTAATGTTCTGTTTTATGTCCGAATCGGAAGTATTTAAAGAAACGCTAGTTCTATTTAATGCAGTTGTGGAACCAGCTGGAAACACAAAACGTTGACTGTAGAGCAGGCTGGACCCGGGAGGTCAGGTTCATTTTGTTACATATGCAATAAACTCACGACTTTACATTTTTTTTTTGGCATCTGTGACTTTGATGTGGTAAAAAGATTCTGATGTATGTAGTCTCACCCGCAGTTGGCCCAGCCTCTGAGGAAAAGAGGCAGAGCTAGGATTTGGGGGAACAAGTGGAAACAGCAGGGCTTCCACGGAAAGTATAGTCGAGTCTGTCCGGCCACCTCGGACTGGAGGTGGACACTGCCTTCCCCGGTCACCGCTCTGCCGGCCACAGCAGCTGGCGAGCCAACTCCTTGCACACTCTGCTTTTGGCTATTTAGAGTAAGGCTGCCCAGAACAAGAGTGCACAAACACCTGCTGGAGTCCGTCTCACAGTCGGCTAGAAACCCCGGGTCAGCATGCCCTGGGTTAACTTTTGAGGACCCTTCCTACTGCAGATGCTTCTCATAAAACTAAGACAGTCCATCATGGTGGTAAACTTGTCCCAACTCAAAGATACCACTTCTTTGCCTCTGCGGTGATGCGCCCCTCCTCGGTGTCACGACACGGGTTACCCAGGAAGTGCTGTGTGGGTCGCAGCTGCTCGCAGTTAGAACTCTGCTCCTTTCCAGAAGAGTCTCGGGCTCTTCCGTCTCTGTAAAAAACACAGCAGGCGGTGTGGCTTGTGCACAACAGATTCCCTCCCGGACAGATCTGCATCTTTGGGGGGCCCCACACCCACATCGTCGTCCTCAGTGATGCCTCCTTGCTCTACTCACACAGCAGCAGGAATAAAGGGCCCTGAGGTCTCCCACGAGGGCTCCACCTCAGGAGCCAGTCCCCTCCTGGGGGCTCACCTGTCCATTGTCGCAAAGGTTGGAACTTCAGCACAGGAACAAGTGGAACACAGAACACAGCTTTCAGACACTTGCTTCGTCAGAGCATCTCAAGGGACGGTGGCTGGCTGGTGTCACTTGCCATATCTACACCTGTTCTCCCCCACCTACCAGGGAATGCTGAGGGCAGTGTCTTCGGCCACGGAGGGGGCTTGGGCCTCCAGTTCACAGCTGGAGATGACTGGGTCACTGTTCCTGAAAAGCCAAGTGACTACAGTTGCCTGTAGAGGGGAGACACTCAGCCCCGAGCTTTGAGCAAGCCTGGCCGCAGACCACATGCACAGGCTTTCCTGTTGACTCGGAGCCTCGTGCAGGGCCAGGGTAGGTGTCCTGGGGAAGCTGTACACTTACACTGCCTGTCTGCCGTCCTCCACCCAGAGTAGTTTTCACTTTTCATACCAGACTGAGCCAGTTCCCCAGCCACTGGGGGCCCCTAGTCCACCCTCAGTCCCCTGCTCTGGCACCTCCTCCCTGCCATCCCACTTGGTGTTGGCAGGCAGGGCGATTAGACCTTGCCCCATCCGAGCACCCAAGATGTGGCCCAAGGTGCCACAATGACCCATAATGCCCTCCCACGCCACCCCTCTTTCTGCTTCCTGCAGCCTCGATGGGCACTTCGGCTGCCACAGGAGGGGGCAGGTTGGGTGACCTGATCCCATCTGCTACCTCTACCCACGATGTCCTGTCCTTTTGCCTGGCAGTGAAGATGTTCTTACCTGCCTGCCCAGCTTGGTGCTAAACATCACTCTAGTCATGGGACCGAGTGTCAGGTGTTGACAGCACTGGGGACTCCAGCATGTCCAGGTCCAGGTCCCTCAGGGCTGTGGGAGATGGTGACTGAAATTTCATTTTCGTCACTCATGATGTCAGCAAAGTGTCTGTTCTGGAGAGAAGATGCCACACCAGTTAGCTTTGTACAAAAACAGTGGTACAGGTCATCCCAGCATGAGGGAAGTGGAGACAGGATGATCAGGAATTCAAGGTCATCCTTAGCTTCATAGAGAGTTTCAGGCTAGCCTGAGCTACATACTATCTAAAGAAAGAAAGGAAGGAAGGAAGGAAACCAAAATGTTGGGCCAAATGATATAGCTGTGGGTAAACATGCTTGGTTGCATAGCCTGATTGAACCTGAGTTCAATCCCCCAATCCCTCAGCGAAAGAAAAGTTGTTCTTAGATGTGCACCGTGGCGCGCGCGCGCGCACACACACACACACACACACACACACACACTTTTTTTTTAAGTGGCCCTGAAGCATTTACTACAGTGTCTAGTAAATATTCAGTAAGTGTTGGCCTTTTAAGAGTGAGAAACCAGCTCACACCTTTGATGCCAGCACCCAGGAGGCAGAGGCAGGTGGATCTGAGTCTGAGGCCAGCCTGAGTTACACTGTGGACACTGACTCAAAACAAAAAACACGGCTACCTTGGCCTATACAGCAAAACCTCATCTGGAAAGCCAAAAGGGTAGTGTGTGAAGGAGCACATTGAGCTGTCGCGGGAGAAGCCCTAAGATGCACCTGGTGTCGCCTAGAGTTCAGTTCCCAGAACTCACTGGAAGGTACACTAACTGCAGAAGACATTCTAAGGCTGCAGACCCGGACTCTGGCCGCAGGGAAGCAGCTGCAGTCAGAAGCCAAAGGGGAGGAGACGCCTGTGGACGAGCACACTGCACAGACGGGGACAGCAGGCAGGGCCAAGCAGGACTGAGCGGCAGGGCCCAGCAGGCAACGGCGATGCCAGTCCTGCCGAGTCCCGGCTCAGCCATGCTGCAGCGAGAGCTGAACCACACTGGGATCAGCTGGAGCCCTGTGCAAGGGCCAGGGAAGGGCCGGGGGTCTTTGGGGAAGACATGGATGGCCATGGGAACTTGCCTAGGGGGCAGCAGCTATGTGAGGACACGGAGGAGCCTCAGGTCCGGGGAAGGGACTTCTGAAGATACCAGTATGGTAGGCTAAAACCTAATTAGGCTAAAGTCAGTCTGAGCACGGTGACCCTTAGCTGTGATTCCAGCACCTGAAACTTGCACATGGGATGAAAAGCTGGAGGACAGCCAGGGCTGCACAGTGAAGGCCAGGCCATCCTGAGCTACATAGCTAGACCCCATGTCAGCAGAAAGTAAATATATACCAAAGGGTCTGAAGAAAGGTGAAGTCACCAGTGCCCTTAAATGTGTTTTTAAAAGTTCCCAAACAGGCTGGAGAGATGGCCTCGGAGGATCAGTTCCCAGAACCCAATCAGGTGGCTCACAAGCACCTCTAACTCCATCTCCAGGGGATCTGATGCCCTCTCTGGCCTCTGTGGGCACTAGCACACACGTGGCAGCCAGGCAGGCAGACTGGCAGGTGTGTGCATGCACGCATGCATACATGTACACACAACCGCAAACAAATCATTTAACCACAATCAGAAAAAAACAATGATAGAAAATGAAGTTCCTGAAGAAATGATGTCACTATAAAGCACATGCCACACAAGTGTGAGGACCTGAGTTCGAATCCCTGGGACCCGTATAAAAGTTGGACACAACACGTGCCTGTAAACAAGGTGCTCCTGTAGAGATGAGGGGTAGAGACTGGAGAATGCTGGGAAATGTGTGGGCCAGCTCACGTGGCATCTGCAACAGCAAACAGGAGACTGGAACAAGGTGGAAGGTGAGCACCAGTACCTGAGATTACCTGTGTGGTGGGGGGCGGGAGACTGAAGATGGAACCCAGGGCTTCATGCGTGCAGTAAAGCCTTCTACTACGTATTCAGCCCTAATAATTGCCCTTTTAAAAATATAATCTACTCACTTTATGGGTATGACTATTTTGCCTGCAAGTGTGATGTGCCCTCAGAGGTCCTAAAACATTAGATCTCCTAGAAACGGAGTTATAATAGTTGTGAGCCATTATGTGGGTGCTGGGAACCAAACCCAGGCCCTCTGCAAGAGCAACAAGTACTCTTAACCTCTGAGCCATCTCTCTAGCCCACTAATTATTTCCTTTTAAAAGTGTGTTGTTATTACTGTTATTGTGTATTGTTATTATGTAGATGAGGGCAGAGGGCAGACCACAGAGTGCACTCGGAGGCCAGAGGACAACTTCTTGCATTCAGTTCTCTCCTGCCGCTGGAAATCTGGGAATCAAACGTGAGTGCCAGGCTTGAGCAGCATGCACCTTTAGCCACTGAGCCATCTCACCGGCCCGCCAATCATTTCTTATATTCGACAGTTACCTGGCTTTTGTCCTCTCTGGCTTTGACTGGTGTTACTGAGAACATACAGAATATACAGTAAGTTTTAGAAAGGGAACTATTTCCATCCTCTCTGATTTCTGGCTGCGGAAAGAACAGCCTTTTTATTTTGCTACTTAGTGAGTTCTTTCTCTTCGCCTGGAAACAGCGACTTCCTGTTTCTCCTCTTAGTGATTTGGATTATTTTCCTCATTTAGTTTAATGTTGGCAGCTAAGTTGTTATCTAAAGGCTCAAATGGCAACTGAGCAACAATTATAATTCTTTGGGGCTCACTTTACAAATACACTTTATTTAAAAGGAATTTTATGAGGTGATTTTTTTTTTTTCCTTTTTTCTCCCCAGCAGGATGGGAGACGATGGCTGCCGGCCGGTCCTTGGTGCTTTTGGCTATAGCTGGACTTTGCAGGTTCCTCATAGTGCATCTCTGTAAGCTCAAGGCTGGACTTGGTCTACGTTTCTAAAAGAAGATTTATTTATTTTTATGTGCATTCGTGATTTCCTTGTATGTATGTCTGTGTGAAGGTGTCAGGTCCCCTGGAATTGGAGTTACAGACAGGTGTGAGCTGCCATGTGGGTACTGGGAATTGAACTCGGGTTCTCTGGAAGAGCAGTCAGTGCTCTTAACCACTGAGCCATCTCTCCAGCCCCCAACTCAGTCTACTTTTATGACAAATATACTTACTTAAATAAATTGTAGTTTGTCATGTTAAAATTTACCCTTTGGGGCTGGAGAGATGGCTCAGTGGTTAAGAGCACTGACTGCTCTTGCAAAGGAGTAGGGTTCGGTTCCCAGCACCCACATGGTGGTGGGTTCAGTTCCCAGCACCCACATGGTGGTGGTACACAACCATATTTAACTCCAGTTCCAGGGGATCCAGTTACCTCATCTGACCTTCCAGGCGCCAGGCACACACATGGTGAACACACATACATGCAGGTAAAACACTCACATACATTAAATGAATCATTTTCTAAACTTCATACTTTTACACATTAAACTTCATGAAGATAACAGTATATTAACAATATCATGTCTAGGCTGAGGAGACAGTGAAGCGGTTGCCTCCTGTGCATGAGGACCTGACTTCCATCCCTACATAAAGTGCAGGGCCTCACAGATGTGCTTCCAGTCCCAACACTAGGGGTGCCCTGACAGGCAGACCTCTGGGACTCACTGGCCAGGCAGCCTAGCCTACTTGGTGAGCCCCACACCAATGAGAGTCCCCGTTTTGAAGGTAGTGAGGTGGTGTCGTGAGGATTACAGCTGAGGCCCAGCACTGTCTTCTGACCTACACGTGCACATGCACCCACATCTACATCCCTGCTACACACACACACACACACACACACACACACACACACACACACATACACACACACACAAAATAAAATGTCTAGGGAATGGCGTCAGCAATATGGTGGATGACACTTTAGACTCTCAAATGGTCCCAGACAAGAACACAGATGACCAACTAGAGAAGACTAAACATCTCCCCTAGGTACTCCGGAAACCGGCTGGAGATGTGTACCAATAAACAAACACAACCAAGAGGAGCCGAAGCTCACAGAGCAGGAAGGGGCCGACGGGGTGGCCAGAGTTAGATACTCGGGACCGACCCACTTGGCAAGAAAACCTTGACTCCCACAAGTTCATCTGACCACCCCCCCACATGCCTTGGCAAGCACATCCCTTCCCCCAAATAAATGTACAATTAAAAAAATAGTAGGAAATTGCCTAATTTTTACATGCCATTGTCCCCAGACCTCGCTGGCCTGGTGTGGATAGCAGGAAGCTGTGGTCTAGTCCTGGTTCCCTGCTGCGACCTAAGGAAACTAGATCTACGTCACAGCTCAGCTGTTGAAAACGAGTAAGCAAGGCTTGGTGACAGCTACAGAGGAGGACTGTGAACAGTGGGGTGAGGGGATGTGGGCACACCGAGTACTGACTGAAGGGAGAAGCAGCTAAGACCCCATGGAGAGGCTGGGGTGACGGGAAGAGAAAAGAGATGGAAGAACTGGAGAAGAACGTACTGAGATGGGGAAGAACTAGACTGAAGGGCTAGAAGAGAGGACTAGAGGAACGAGATGGAAGATGAGGAAGAGCCAGATGGGGAAGAACAAGATGAGGAAGAGCCAGATGAGAGACAAGGAGATGAGAGGGGAGCTAAGATGGGAAAGAACTAGATGGGTGAGAACCTAGATGGGGCAGAAGTAAGATGAGAGAATTAAGATAGAACTTAGAGGGGACAGCAGATAGATGCTGAGAGAAGTCAGGCAAGGAAGGAGCCAGGCATGAAAGCAGAGTAGAAGCTGTGTAAGAGAGAACTGACTCAGAAGAATAAAGTGTATGGACTAAAGAGTTTTGTTTTTAAAGAGTAGATTCACTTTTTATCATCGGAGATTAATTATCAGCTGGTTGTAGATTCTTCCCGGACCCTGGAAGAGGACTATCGAGGGGCAGGACCCCCATAGGTCCCGTTATGGATGTGTGTGCACGTAAGTATAAGTGCCCACAGAGGCCTGTGGTGTGGGAACTCCTGGAGCTGGAGTCACAGTGGCTTTGTGTCACTGGTGTGGTTGCTGGTCCTCTCCAATAGCAGTAAATGCTCTTAACCACTGAGCCAGCTCTCTAGCTAAGATACATACAATTTTATGACAACTAAAAAAAAAAAAATCTTTACAAACTGTCAAGACAGAGCTGGAGCGATGGCTCAGTGGTAAAGAATTCTTCCCATTCTCGAGAAACCTAATTTGGATCCCAGCACCCACTTTGGTGACTCATGACCACCTTAACTCCAGCTCCAAGGGGATGCTTTGCCTCCAGGGGCACCTGTGCACATATGTGCAGACACATAATAAAAAGTAAAAAGCAGCTGGGTGGTGGTAGCGCACGCCTTTAATCCCAGCGCTCGGGAGGCAGAGGCAGGC